CAGGGAGTCTGCTTCTCCCTCTCCTGCTCCCCCCTCTTGTGCTCTCTCTCTCACTCTCTCTCTCAAATAAATAAATAAAATCTTTAAAAAAAAAAGAAGCCCAGACTCTGGGAGTCAGGATATCTCTTCATTCAAATCCCAGTTCCACTGAGCACGTGCTAATTAGCGGCTGCAGGATCAAGAGAGGTTATCTAACTTCTCAGGACCTTGGCTTCCTCCTCTTCAACAACCCACATTCAAGAGCAGTTACGGGGATTACAAGAAATAACGTGACACGTCTGACACACTGGCCTGGGACCCAACAGCCAGTGGGCGCTGCGCAGGTGAGCCGTTGGGGAGCACAGGCGGCCAGCTCTCTGTGCCGAGGGCAGCCCCGCTTCTCCCAGGCAGCCGAGAGCGGATGCAACCTGAGCTTCAAGCCTGGGCAAATCTATTCCTACCAAATCTATTCCTTGAGTCAAAAGCTCATCATCTGCTCACCTTTGAGCCACAAGGACGGTAAATCAGATCCAAGTGATTTCTACCACCACCCACCCAGGAGCCTTCAGTCGCTCCCCTGCAATGGGCAGAAACACCCCAGGCCCAGCCAACCGTGCCCAAGCCTTCCACACACACACTGGAGGGTTTCCCTTCCCCTCCCTCTGACCCTCCTAGTTACAGGTACCCCTCACAACTGGAGGTGAATAAGGATCTTAAATCCTTAATGAGTAACAGCTTGGCTTGGCTGGTGTGGTTGATTAAAGACAGCCACAAACTGACACTCCTGCCCCCTCCCTCAAATCCAGGCAGGCTTTGTGACTACAGGAGTCTACGGCAGAGGAGTCTTCCGGCCCCAGACCTTCAAGACACTGGTGGCTTCTACCTCCTATCTCTTGGGATATTGGCTCTTAAGAGTCCTGAGCCCCCACGTAAGAAGTCCAACGACCCCTGGAGAAACCATGTAGAGGCGCCTGAAGAACACATGGAGATGGGGTCTACCAAGCCCAGCCTTCCAGGCAGTCCTGCCAAAGTGCCCAGCGTGTAAGCGAGGTTGGCTTGGCCCCTCAGGACACAGGCTGCCACACTGGACTATCAGGTGGCAACTCCAGGCAATGCCACCTAGACCATAATAATTACCCTTCCTGACTCAAAGTTGTGAGACATGATAAAATGGTGTTATTTCGGGGCACCTGGGAGGCTCAGTCGTTCAGCGTCTGCCTTCAGCTCGGGTCATGATCCCAGGGTCCTCGGATCAGGCCCCGCGTCGGGCTCCCTGCTCTGCGGGAAGCCTGCTTCTCCCCTCTCCCACTCCCCCTGCTTGTGTTCCTGCTCTCACTGTGTCTCTCTCTGTCAAATAAAATAATTAAAAAAAAAATGGCGGTTGTTTCAAGCCTTTACATTTTCAGGTAGTTTGTTATGCAGCAATGGATGGTGTAAGAGATGGCCTCCAGGATTAAACATGAAACCACTAAGGTTCAGCAGAAGCAAGCAAACGTAAATTTTCCGTCAACTCCTTGCTGCCCAGCTCAATCTAGGTCAGCAAGCCCGACACAGTGACAGCCCGGGGCACTCTGAAACCCCTCATCCCACACACACTACACCCACCTAGTGGTATGTCAATGGCTGTCACCACGGCTCCCAAAGTGCTCTGCACGGCCTCGCCCACCTTCCGAGCAATCAGCGTCCCGCCTTCATCGTCAGCCTGTGCCTCAGTCACATCTGTAGACAGTGAGAAAGGAAAAGCCGTCACCTCTTAGTCATTTCCCAAATGGGAAACTCGGGGCAACCGCAGAGCGCTTCTGGATTCTTCTCCCAGGATACCACTGTGCTTCCTGCCCTGCAGTGAGCTCTGGTAGTCCTTGACCTCCACCCTCTGGAGCTGTTTTATAACCTTCCTCTCAGGGTAAGCCAGAAAGGTTCTAGGAGCAGGACCCAGAACCTTCTCCAGGAAGAAGACCCAGTCTAAGCCATGTCTGGTAAACACAGGACAGGGTGAACCCCCCACCCCCAGGACTCGCACCCCTAGGACTCTATGAACAAAGAGCTTAGAGGACGCCGGCCAGGGCCAGGCGGGCAGCTGCCGTCGTTAGAGTGACGGGGCTGGAACGGGGTGAGGCATGAGAGAGGGCCCCCCCACCCCTGCAGCTCCTGGGCCCCACGTTACCTAACTGGACATTCCTGGCTTCATAGCAGGTGTCACACACCCGCACGGGTGCAGGGCCCCAGCCCCGCTCGGGCACGGGCCGGGTCTTGGACGAACAGCTGTCACAGAAGCCCTCCCCGCAGGCGCGGCAGTGATGCTTGGTGTCGTTATCTTTGAACGACGTAGCGCACTTGTTGCAGCTCTGTTCCAAGCCCAAAACAAACAGAAGGGCAGGTATTATTCGTTTCTACCAGCTGAGAAAGCCAGCGAGACCCCGGCAGAGGACCCCAGGACCACTGAGAACGGCAGGACCCCGACAGCAGTAATGGAGAGAACCTGAGACCTCCAGTCACATAGAGCGCACCCACTGAAGCCCAGCTGTGACCCATTTTCTCCTGAGATGTGCCTGGAAAGCCACCTCAAATCTGTCTGGCTGAGTCACAGCATCCTCAGAAAGGACTCTGCTAAGTCTAGCAAGAAGACCAATGAGAATTCATTTTTTTTCCGCGGCTTCTCAAAGGAGCCTTTGGGAAGGGGGTGAGGAGCAAGCTTCCTGTCCCAAAGTGTGTGGACCAAAGCTGAGGGCTCCCTTGCTGTGGGCAGAGATTTTTGCATCAAGCCACATGACCTCTAAATGCCCCTTTTACTCCAGATTCTGTTATCTACCACCTCAGACATCTGACCAATAAGAACTACCCCTTGGAGGCAAAGAAACTATAATCCACCAAAAAGAGTAACCGCAGAGTAAGACAAAGAGAAATCAATGGGCAAGAGAACATGGCTTCCTCACGTGCCCCCGCTTTCTAACGCTCTGGGATCGAACCTGGCTGAAAGAGAAATCCCACGCCTCCCTCACAGAGCAAGCTTAGGCCAGGGCAAAATGGCACCAGCAGAAGGGGCCACGCCAGGGATGCAGGGGCGTCCTGCCGCACCATACCAGGATCTGGGAGTTGGGCCTCCAGTACGCAGGGGCAATCTGGTCTGTCAGCCAGGAAGTCACAGCCTTGGTGGGCCCAAGGCTAAGCTCAGACACCGACTGAGCCATGAAGTTCATCCCGTCCAAGAGGCGCTGGGCAGCATTATTGTTGTCCTTCAGAAATCCATCAGTCTGAAATGAAAATGCAGGCTCCCATCATGCTCTGAGTGAAGGGAGTAAAGGCAAGGAGGGAGACGGGATCTCAGGTGAGTTGTACACTCATCAATGGCCAACTCAGAACCCACAAACTCCCTGGCAGAGAAGAGTGGGAACAGATCACGAATCCCTCCAGCTTCTAGGCAGTATCACACCCACCAGTCATTACTGACTTACTCCCTTCACGGCGACCATAAGACGTGGTGCACAACTGTTCAACTCAGGCCTTACCTGCCCATTAGCAAGATGTACAATCCAGGAGGTATTCGAGTAAAGAGGGCACCTCCTTCAGGAAGCCCCCACCCCCACCCCAGGCTGGGTTAGGAGCCCTTCCTCTTGGCTTCCTCTAATACCTGTACATTGTTAAGAATCCTGTTTCCATGTGTAAAAACAGTACCTGTTTATGTATTTGACTCGCTATTAGACTGAGCTCTCTGAAAATAGCCTACCTTTTTCATTCTTGTATTTTTAAAGTATCAGGTTCAATTCTGGGCACAGAGTACTCAACCAATACTTGGGCTGACATAATGACTGAGTGAACGAACAGAAGGGGAGGGGCCTGTATCCCCTAATCCCAAGAACCATGACGAATGTGGCCTAAAAGGGAACGATGATATCACTGCTTTCTTGGAACAGAACCATCTTACCATGGAGACAGCGGCATTCACAAGAAAAAACACAGGTCCAAAAACAAAAGACATTACTCAGAAAAGGTGTAGTGAGAAAGTTATACTAGTCAAGGCCACATTAAGTCCTTGGGACAGGATGGCCCGGCCCATCGTGCCAAGAGGGTGGGCTCCAGAAATGAGACCATACCACAGGAACACATTTTGGTGGGACTGGAAACTGGAGAGAAGAACAAACAATAAGGAAATCTTCGGTTTTATGGGAGCTATAGGACCCCAGAAAGCTCAAGATGGCTCTGCAGGTAGGCCTGTGAGGCTGACCGGTACCTTTAGGAGTCACCCAGCAAGGGGAACAGCACCAAGTAAGGTAAGTCCCTTCGAGAAAATCACTCATCTTTTTTCTACGAAGAGACAAGGTTTGGGTGTATTGTAGATTTACTGGTAAGAACAAGAGCACATCACTGCCTCCAAACAGATTTGTTTTTCCAATATCTTGAATTCAAAAGTCAAATTAAAAAATAGTAAGGGTCGATAGAAATCCCCCTTCTTAGAATGTAGTTCAAGAGAATTTTCCAGAACAGAGGCTTTCACACATAAAGAATGTCACTATAGCATTTTGATAATAAAAAAAATCATAAACAGCATGAATGGTCAAAAAGAAGGGGATGGAGAATCAAACCAGAACATGCGACAGAATGTTCCAGTGACTACAAATGTGAATCATGAAAAGTGGCAGCAATGTGAAAGTAAAACGGAGGTATGAGAAAAAGCCGGTAAATGGCACGTAAATTATACCTGCATCTACACACACATGCATGTGGAAATGAGAATATGAAAAAATACCTTATTTGCTAAGGCAGTATAATAAGAGCTCAACATTTAGTTTAAAGTTGTGCTTCTAATATTCAGGCAAGAAGAAATGAAAATAAGTAAGGGTCTAGGACAAGAAAGGCTCTCCAGATCCTGCCTCCCTCAACCACCAAAATATTAAAATTCAAGGTGCACCTTAATTCTACACAAGTTCCATTCTCCACACCCATGAATAACTGAATGATACGAGAAATGAAGCAGCTCTTACCCCAGGCCACACGTGCACAATCTCTGTCCGGACCACCGTATCCACAGGATCCTGGTTCCCAAACCAGTATTGTCGGCTCCGGTAGACCACGCCGCAGTTGGGACATTCGATCACATACCTACAAGCAGAGCAAAGAGGTACTGTTACCGGGCCAGGTGCCTGGCAGACCGACACACCCCAACCCTCAGCTACATCGTCGCCATTTAAACTCACCCAGACCAGGCATACTTTGCGAGACCCATCCAGGGGGAGTCCGTGGAAGCGGATGTCTTGGGCACTACGCTGACCTCCTTGCCTCTCTCATAGCACGCCTGAAACATGGAGCACTCCACCAGCTTCTTTTCTGTACACCAGACCCCCTGGCCCCTTCGTGTCCCTGGCCAGGCCCCTTCCCACAAACCATATCAGGGTTTGCAGACCCTGAGTTCAGCGCAGCAGGGGAAGGGTCGTTTCTCTAAAAAGGCCAGTGCCCTAAAAGATCATGAATTGAATGTGTACCCATCCCAGGCCCCAAAACGGAGCTGTAATTTATACCCGCCCCCGAAAAGCCATTAGACTGGGTTCCTGCAGAGCACTCCCGCTCTGGAGAAGAATGAACAGTCAGTGTATATGCCCCTGGCATACAAAGCTCAACAGAATAAAGGGAAAACAGACTGGGAAATAAATCAGTAAACAAATAAATAAACCAAGGGGCCCCAGCAATGGAGGCATGGGAGTTCCTCTGGTTAGAGCTGGGGAGAAGTCCCAGAGAGAGTGGATTTGAACATCAAATACTTCGGGACACAGCAAAGGGTGGCCACTAGTCTTTCCCAAAAGCAGAGCAGGATCAGCAAGCCAGCTGCCAGAGCAGAGCACTCACCTTGCAGGTATAAACTCGGTTGTCATACTGGTGGGAGTATCTGCAGCGGCTCTTGGCTTCATGAGGGACTCCTTCTTTCCCATGATTCATGCTGTTCTTACATCCAGCCCTGAGTGAAGCCCAAAAGCTGACAGTGAGGTGGCTAAAGGAGACCCCGGCACTCACACGGGGGAGTGGGACCCTGAGCCGGACCCAGGGTTATGAACTGGGCCCCGAATCCTGAGCACAGAGAGTGCCGCGTGTGTCTCAGAAATCCACACGCCTCTCTGATACGAGACTCAACAGCACGACGGAAGTGAGGCCACTATCACCCTTGTGTGCGGAGAAAGGAGAAGAGAGGGAGGACTCTCCTCCTGGAAAACCCGCGCGGACGGCCCCACAGAAGGAATGGAGGAGCCGGAAGATGCCGCCCTGACAGGTGATAAAACCTGAATGGCGCTCAGGAAACCCCAAAATCCAAAAGAGCACAAAATGGGAAGTTGAACGAGAACAGGCTGCCAAGATGTAAAACAAAAACCAACCTCCAAAATTTGGCAATGCATTAAAAGGAGGCTTAAGCTGAACAAGAAAACATTCCAAATGAACAGTGAGCTCTGCCATCCTGACAACGCAAAAACAAGAGAACAGGACTTTAGAATTTCACCATGATAGAAGGGAAAGTTCTGGAAACCCTGGTGAGGCTGTCAGAATGGAAAAGTGATGATCCAACAGAACCTAAGCCCCTCATGCTGGGCTATGGGGTAAACAAAAAGGAAGGTAAATCACGCTGGCAACTAACATCCCGCTTTCCTCTCCAACATAATCCTTAGCTCTCCCCAGCCCAGACCATATCATCTAAAAGCAAATCCTTTTTACAGATTCAGAGCCAAGGTGGTGGTAGTTCAGTGCCCAGCAGGTAGCCTGCATACAGGGCTCAATGCAGGAAGACCATTCACAACAAAAGGCTCAGGTCTCCTCCTCTAGAGGGATACACGTGGAGGATGTGGGGCAGTGGTCCTGATGGGAGTGAAGACAATTCAATGGTGAAGAAGATGGCGGGGTGGGGACCCGGAGACTGCGATCTCACCGACACATTGCATTTAAGTCCCCTGAGCTCCATCAGACAAGTCACCAGACTGTGATTTAATAGCCGTCAACAGCTCAAATTAATCCAGGGATCCTTAAAGTGTGGCCCCAATGAGCAACATCAGCATTACCTGGGAGCTTATCAGAAATCCAAATTCTCAGATCCTCTGTCAGACCTACTGAACCGGAAACTGGGGAGGCAAGGCCCGACGTATTTTAACATGTCCGTCAGGTTTTTCTGACGCATGATCAAATGTGAGAATCGAGGCTCCAAGGCCCTGGTAACAAAGTGCGGTCAACAGACGGGGCAGCACCACGTCACCCGGGAGCTTGTCAGAAATGCACAATCTCACCCAGGCCGCTGATGCAGAATTTGCACTCTGACAAAACCCCAAGGTGCTGCACACACAGATTACAGTTTGAGGAGCACTGCCCTAACTCAATGTTCTCAACACATCAGAATCATCTGAGGACCCTTTCAAACGCACCAACACGAAGGGCCCCACCCCAGCTCTGTTAAGTGAGCATCCTCAGAGGTGAGGCCCAGGCCTTGGTAACTTTGAAAGCTCCCTGGAGAATTCTAATGTGCTCTCAGAGTCTGCCCTCACAGTGAAAGGAATCAACCAGGACTGACACCTACTACAACAGAGCTTTGTACACACGAGGCTGGCAAATGTGAGTTAAGCAAGCGGAATGACTACAGTGAAAAGCCTTGGTAGGAGAAACGTAGAAAAACAAAGCAACCTAACGTTTTCTGTAGTAAAAACCTGCCCAAGCCAGAAGCCAGCCAATTTCATATCTAAACCAGTTCGGACTCGTCAGAGGACTCTTCATAGCCATGTATCCTAGAATCCCTTACAACCTCAAAGTGTGGTCCCCCGACCACCGGGATTCACCTGGGAACTTGTTGGAAATACACCTTCTCAGACCCCAACCCACCCTTAATTCAGAATCTGGAATTTAACCAGACCCTAGGGGACCTGCACGCACACTGAAGTCTGAAGTCTGCGTCTCTTTGCCCAAGATGGCCAGCCTCACTTACCCACAGCTGAGGCACAAGGAGGAGCAGGTGAAGTATTCATCTGGGAAAAAGGAGCTGTGCGCCATCTGGTCATCAGGAATCTCACCGCTGAAGCGGTCACTCAGTGCCTGCCGAGGAGGGAAGGCGACACATGAAGGCACTTGGCAGAGAGCCCCACGCTCTGGCTCTTACCGCTACTTGCCTTTCTAAGTTCCCCTCGTCACTGGCTTATTTCTTACAGTCTCCACTGCTGGAAGAGGCAACCCAATGACTTCTGCTCCTTACCTTCTTGGCCCAACCTGCACCCATCCTCGCCAGAGGAAACCTCAGAAGAACCAGCCCATTCCCCCTGGAGGTCAGAAGGAAGCCAACAATGTTACTGTGCTCTCTTAATTACCCTGGAGGTTATAAACATCTCACACACTCAGTCTTTCATGCAAAACCACCACAGATCCTAATGCCATTTCATCCTTTGAAGCTAGAACCAAGAAACGGAGACCTGAGAAGAGGCCTCGTCTTTAAGTCAGAGACAGGCAGAGCTGAGTGGTGAGCTGGGAGTTCCCTGGGCCTCTATCCCAGTTCTAACCACAGGCGCTCTTTTGGCGTTTACTAGGCCACAGAACTAGCTTGATGTAGAAAAAAAGTCATCAGCCAAAAAACAAGGAAGAATTATTGTAGTGTTTGGCAGCCTTTTATCAACAACAGTAACCTAAAACACAGCAAACGGCCAAAATAAATGCCAAGAAGAAAGATAAAGTATTTGCAAAAGCAAACTGAAAATTTTATGTTGAAAGGCAGCTTCCATGTCTGGTCCTCTGTTTTCACTCACTACTTTACACACAAAGCATCCTTCAAGCTGATTTCTTCCCCCCTGCCCCCCAGGCCCTTACTCATATGCAGTGGAGAAAAGTTATATAAATTCAAGAGAAATGCCTTTTCAGACTTTAAAAATCATCATATGCATGCAGCTCCCAGCTTCCAAGTTTCAATCTCCCTTTCTGAGGCAGCCACACACTATTCAGGGGGAAGAGAAAAGTGGCCTACAACAAAAAGACAAGATGTTACTTCCTTTTAAAAAGGCAAAAGAAAATTTAAGAGGAGGGGTGCCTGTGTGGCTCAGCCGGTTGGCTGTCTGCCTTCCGCTCAGGTCATGGTCCCAAGGTCCTGGGATCGAGCCCCACATCGGGCTCCCTGCTCAGTGGGGAGTCTGCTTCTCCCTCTGCCTCTGACTCTCCGCCTGCTGTGCCCTCTCTCAAATAAATAAAATCTATCTCTAAAGTACATAAACAGGCAGAACTAATCTACGCTGTTAGGATTCAGGTTACTGTTAACCAGAAGGCAGCATGAGCAGGGCTTCCCCATGAAGAGGGTGCTGGCATTTCATGTCATTTTCCGCTACTGATTTCACGGGTACAACCAGACTGTGAAATTCATCATATTAATACACTTGTGATAGGATGTGCACTCTCTGTATATACATACTTCAAGGGAAAGTCTTTTTTAATGTGCTCATTGTAAAAAAATCCAAACAGGTCAAAGCATGAAAGAAATAGATTTCCTCTGCCCCCTCCTACTTGCCAGAGGAGACTACAATTCAGTGTTTGTTTGCCCATTCAGACTTCTTTTTCCTACGCACGTACCAACACATACATGCAACTTGCTTGAATCAATTACATACTGTAAGGACCTATTCTTTTCATGATACTCTGAGAAGTTCCTTATTTTTTTTAATAGCTACATAGTCCTCCATCCTATGGACATATTTAACCAGTCACCTACAAATGAACATTTAAAACAAATGGCTACTTTGAACATGCTGGTCTTATGCTGGTGAAGCTACAGACAAACTGCCAATGTAGCTGAGGGTAGTTTCACCAATATTTATCCAGAAATTTGTGGAGTAGTATTACAAATGAATTCAATAAATATCCTGGAGATAAATGTTAGAAGGACTTTTTAATTTCCTTTAATATTTTAATAACAACAACAACAAAATCACTCCAATTACTACTGGAGATACGGCCTTACTCATTTAAAAGTACAGTCATCAAAAAGAAGTAGCCAAAATTCCGTAGTTCATCCCTAAATCCATCTCTCCCTGAATTTTTCCTGTGGCAATGACTTTGGGTCCCAGGGTATCCCAGGGTCAACCATCAAGGAGTGACTCCTCCCAAAGCCACCCAGGTACCGGCTTGGCCCCCCTCCCCCCAACCCAACATCATCTCACAGATTGTCTCTGGACATAGAATCTCTGCTCCCAAATGATTATGGGAGCTGGGTTCTCCTCATTTGTAAAACAGAGAATTCATTTGCCTTCTAACTCCCACCTAGAATCCTCAGTCCAGAAAAGGAACAGGATCAAATAAAATCAGAAAATGGGACGCCCCAGATGGCTCAGTCGGTTGAATGTCCGACTCTTGATTTCAGCTCAGGTCATGATCTCAGGATCATGAGATCAAGCACCAAGCCCCGCCGATGGGCGTGGAGCCTGCTTAAGATGCTCTCTTCCTCTCCCTCTGCCCCTCCCTACTGTTCACTCACTCTCTCTAAAAAAGAAATCAAAATAAAATAAAATAAAATCAGAAAGTATGAGACAGAAAACTCTTAATTATCAATTTGCCCACAATTGTGGCACCTCTCCTTTACCCTGCATAAACTCTGGCTGCCTTGGTTCCATCTCCAAATTTCAAGCAGCAGCAACAGTATTCCTTAGAAAGAGCTCTGGATTTAGGAATTAGGAAACCTTATTTTGAACCCCAGTTTTGCAACTTACTAGCTGGAAAACTCTTGGTTACATAACTCAAGCTCTCTGAGTTCAGCTTCATCTGTAAAATGGGGCTGCTATTGAGTGGGCCGAATAACAAGGATACAGTAAGTTAGCATTTATTTTTTTTAAAACCACCTAACATGGTATGGTACAAAGCAAAAAAAAAAGTTATTTGTGAAGGGCTGGTTATTTCAAAATCCTGAACTAGAAATTAAACCTTCCCCTTATGAAGGTTGTAAAAATCCAAAGTGGCATAAAAATGCAGATCACGGGGTGGGGGGGGGTCGGCGCCTGGGTGGTTCAGTCGGTTAAGCATCTGCCTTTGGCTCAGGTCATGATCCCAGGGTCTTGAGATTGAATCCCACATCGGGCTCCATGCTCAGCAAGAAATCTGCTTCTCCCTCTCCCTGTGCCCCTCTGCCTGCTTGTGCTCTAGCACGCATGAGCTCTCTCTCAAATAAATAAAATCTTTAAAAAAAAAAAGAAATGTGGATCACAGGAAGCATCCTCAAGTCAGTATTTCCAACCTTCTCTCCTTACCTCAGATCACCTGATAAGAAGCATCTGCTGGAACGTTTAGATTTCTCATTCTCCCGCTAGACTCAGGTCCTTCCGATTCTAACTCTTTAATATAGCCCCAGTCTGTCCATTTCCCTCCTGTGCCACTGCCCAGGCTCGGCCCCTATCACTTCTCATCTAGCACCATGGTAATGTCCTGGCTGGTCTCCCTGCCTCCAGCCATGCCTCCATAGTTCATCCTGCAACAGGCTGCCGTGCGATCTTTAGAAAATACAGATCCAATCGTGTAACTCCCTGCTTAAAATCCTTCAGGGGCTCCTGTTCTATTTGAGAACTGAGTCAAGGCAGCCCATGCTCTGACCCCCAAGTAACTCCACCATTCCCTCCCATACAATCTGTGCTTCAGACACAGTGAGAACCTCTTCATTTATTCATCCAACAACGCTGAGCATCAAGCACTCATCCAGGCTCTTTAGGCACAGCAGTGAATAAGACAGGCAAGGTTCCTGCCTTCATGGAGTTTCTGTTGTAATGGGAGAGAAACAAAAACAAGTAAGCAAACACACAGGAGGATCTCAGATAGTGACAAGGGTCCTGATGCAAAGGAACAGAGCGATGCAGTAAGCGTGCAAACTCGGGGGCAGGAAGGACCACTCTACAGGGGATGGTGAGCCAAGGCTCCAAGGGGGTGGTTGCTGAGCTGAGTATGAAGTACGGCCTGCGGAGGGAACAGTGTTCCAGGCCGACAGAGCAGCATACGCAAAGGTGAAAACACAGAAAAGGCTGGTGTGGCTACCGGACGGAGCATACACAGAGGTGGTGTGTGCACGCCTGTGCGCGATGGGGGCATGTGGGGCAGTGGGAGGGGAGGAAGGGGATAACCAGAGAAGGAGTTCAGAGAACAGGCAGGACTCAGAGTAAGGACACCGTCATGAGTTTGTAGGGAAAGCCACTGACAGCTTGTAAGCAGGAGTACGGCACGATCTAAAGCATAAATAAAGCTTGGGAAAGAGCACCTGGCTGCTGCGTGGAGCACGCACGGAGGGGCTAGAGGGGGCTCAGGAGGCTCTGGCAGAACTACCTGCACGAACCCTGCGGGTTCCGGGACACAAGCTGCCCCTTCAAGCCACCAGGGGTTTGCACGTTCCAGAGCATCCTTCCTCTCCTGCCCTAGCAAGCCACGTGTCTAGGTTCAAGCCCCATCTCCACTCCTCTTTCCCAGACCCCCTCAGGAGGTGTAACGTGTCCTTCTTCCACACTCCCACAGCTCCAGAACCCACATCTGCTACATTAGAGAACACGTGTGGGCTCCGCAACTGGACAGGGAGCTATTCGAGGGTGAGAACTGCTTTTCTCAGCTCTGTGCCCCAGTGCTCAGCACATGACATTGTGTCACTTGAGAAATCTGGCTGACTGGGCGTCCGCGTGGCTCAGTCAGTTAAGTGTCTTGCCTTCGGCTCAGGTCATGATCCCAGGGTCCTGGGATCAAGCCCCACATCAGGCTCCCTGCTTAGCAGGCGGTCTGCTTCTCCCTCTCCCTCTCCCTCTGCTCCCCCCTCTGCTCATGCTCTCTCTCTCACTCACTCTCTCAAATAAATAAAATCTAAAAAAAAAAAAAAAAAGGAACTTTGTTAACTGATGGGACGCCTGGGTGGCTCAGTCGGTTAAGCATCCAACTCTTGATTTTGGCTCAGGTCATGACCTCAGGGTTGTGAGATCGAGGCCCATGTTGGGCTCCACGCTGGGTATGGCACCTGCTTCAGATTCTCTCTCTCTCCCTCTGTCCCTCCCACCGCTCTCTTAAAAAAAAAAGAAAGAAACTACGTTGACTGAATGAACAGGTAAATGGTATGAGTGAGTGAGGGGCTAACACTGCTGTCCCCACCTGTGTCCAATTACTGTTGCTGCACTGCTCCCTCATCCTCAGGTCATCCTCAGGTAGGAATTTGCTTCCTACTTCTCTAAGGAAACAACCAGTAAGACAAGTCCGACACACATACCACATCTACCAATTACCTGCAACCATGTCCGTATACTCTGCCTTCACTCCTGTGCTAACGGAGGGACTATCCATGCTTCTAAGGCCAACCCACACACATGGGCCTCACTCCAACTGTTCTGCTCGCTTCCATCTGCATTGTTCCCTTCCTAGTAAAGCATTTGCACCAGTACACAAATATCTGCAATACCTCCCAGCTTCAATTTAAAGGAGGAAAAACCCCCCTTGAAATCCCACATCAGCCTCTAGCTATCATTTCATTTGTCTGCTTCCCTTTATAATAGAACTCTTTGAAAGAGTGGAATATATACACAACCTTAATTCTCCTCCTCCTATTCTCTCTTTAACCTATCCTGATCAGGCTTTCACACCCATCATCCCTGGGAAACAGGTCTTATCCGGATCACCAAGGCGCTCTCTACTGCCTAAGCCAATCGGTAATCCTCAACCCTCATCCTGACTGGATTCTAACACTGTTGCTCACTCCACCCTTCTTCAAACACTCCCTTAGGTCTTGCCCAGGCAGAAATTTTGCTGGGCAATCGCCCTCCACCAAGTTACTACAGAAGCCCAATGGCTGCCTCCTTGTACCCAGAAAGGTCAATCTGTGACGCAGTCCTCTGTCTACTTACCAGAGCCCAGCAGCTGAGTGTGCACAGTCTCATGGAAAATGATAACAGCAGGGCCCAGGGTGGACAAGGGGACATCCAGGCCACAGCGGGCAGTGGTAGCCTTGAGCTCCTTGGTGAAGTGCTTCAGATAAGCTTCTGAGGCGTCCCCAAGGAACTTGAAGAGGTCATTATGCAGCCGGTCTGCATGAGTTCGATAGATGACGAGGTCTGAGATGGCCAGGACCTTAAGCAGCAGTCGTGTTCTCTGGCTGAGATTCACCGTCGCCCCCAAGAGCCCTTCTGTGTCTATCACTGCTACTTTGTGGACTGGGTCATATGCCGCCCACACCCCCACAGTGCAGGACTCCTGGGCAGGGGAAGTTTTAAAGACTTCACGGCCATAAAAGAAAGTGTGGTTGAGAGTATGAGACTTTCCATCACCAGTATTTCCAAAAATGGAAACCACCTTCAAATGCTGATCAGGTTTACAGTCCAATTTCCTAATAAAGTCCTCTTCATTCATTACCTTCAGAAAAAAAAAAAAGAAATATAAACCGCATAATAGTTAGAAAACTTGCAAGAACAACAACTGCTTCCCAAGGTCAAGGTCCTTGATTGAATGGTCAAGGTGGCAAAGAAAAGAAGCTACATGGGGCGCCTGGGTGGCTCAGTTGGTTAAGCGACTGCCTTCGGCTCGGGTCATGATCCCAGGGTCCTGGGATCGAACCCCGCATCAGGTTCCCTGCTCGGCCTCTCCCTCTCCCGCTCCCCCTGCTTGTGTTCCCTCTCATGCTATGTGTGTGTCTCTCTCTCTCTCTGTGAATTAAATAAATAAATAAAATCTTTGAAAAAGAAGAAAAGAAGCTCCAGGATGATAGGCTCCCATCCAGCCTAACTCCCAGCAAACAGCTAGGAGGAACTTTCAAAGATTTAGGCAGTACAATTTAGTGCTCATGAAAGAGCTACAACTATAAAACTCTTAGAAGATGACATACGAGTGGAGTACCTGGGGGGCTCAGTCAGTTAAGCATCTGCTTTCGGCTCAAGTCGTGATCCCAGGGTCCTGGGATCGAGCCCTGCGTTGGGCTCCCTGCTCAGCAAGAAGCCTGCTTCTCCCTCTCTCACTCCCCCTGCTTGTGTTACCTCTCTAGCTATCTCTGTCAAATTAATAAATAAAATCTTAAAAAAAAAAAAGAATTCCTTTAACTCAAGAAAAAAAAACTGATTAAATATTAAGCCAAAAATTTGAATAGACATTTTCCCAAAGATTTACAAATGGCCAATAAGCACACGAAAAAACACTCACCACCACCAGTCATTAAGGAAATGTGAATTAAAACCACAATGAAGTCTCACTTCATACCCACTAGAACGGTTATGATCAAAAAGATAGTAACAACAACAACAAAAATCTTCACATAGCTATTGGGGGCACCAACCAGCACCACTGGTTGGCTCAGTCGGTGAAGCACGCGACTCTTGATCTCAGGGTTGTGGGTTGCAGCCCTGAAGTGGATGTGGAGATTACTTAAATAAGCTTTAAAAAAATTAAATAAATAGGGGCCTCTGGGTAGTTCAGTCAGTTAAGCATCTGCCTTTGGCTCAGGTCATCCCTGAGACTGAGCCCTGCGTGGGGCTCCCTGCTCAGTGGGGAGTCTGCTTCTCCCTCCCCCTCCGCCGCTCCCCCCACCCCTCATATTCATGCTCCTGCTCACACGTGAGCTCTCTGTCTCTAATAAATAAAATAAAATCTTTAGGGTGCCTGGGTGGCTCAGCTGGGTAAGCGTCTGCCTTCAGCTCACGTCATGATCCCGGAGTCCTGGGATCGAGTCCCACCGTCGGGCTCCTCGCTCAGCAGGGAGTCTGCTTCTCCCTCTGCCCTTCACCCTGCTCTTGCTCACTCTCTCTCTCAAATAAATAAAATCTTTAAAATAAAATAAAATCTTTAAAAATAAATAATAAAAAATTAAAAATTAAAAAAAAAAGATTAACAAGTGTTAATGAGAGTATGCAGAAACTGCAATGCTCATGCCCTGCTGAGAATGTAAAACGGCAAAGCCACTCTGGAAAACAGTATGGCAGTTTCTCAAAAAGTTAGAGAGTTATCGTATATCTCAGTAATTCCACTCCCAGGTACGTATCCAAGAGAACTGAAAACATGTCCACACAAAACGTGAACACAAATGTTCATGGCAGCAATATCCATGATAGCCAAAAGGTGGAAACACCCACATGTCCATCAAATGATGAATGGATAAACAAAATGTGGTGTATGCATACAGTGGAGTATTATTCAACCATAAAAAAGCAATGAAGTACTGATGCATGCTACAACATGGATGAACCTTGAAAACATCATGCTAAGTGAAAAGAGCCAGACACAAAATACTACATATTCTAGGATCCCATTTATATGAAATATCCATGACAGGCAGATTCACAGTGACAGAAAGTATATTAGGAGCTGCCAATGGCTAGGGGAAGGAGGGACTACGGAGTGACTGCTAATGGGTAGAGGGTTTCTATTTGGGTTGATAAAAATGTCCTGGAATTAGTGCTAAGGGCTGCACAACTTTAAAATATACTAAAAACACCGAATTATCCACTTAAAGGGTGAAATAGGGGCGCCTGGGTGGCTCAGTCGTTAAGCGTCTGCCTTTGGCTCGGGTCATGATCCCAGGGTCCTGGGTTCGAGCCCCACATCGGGCTCCCTGCTCAGCAGGAAGCCTGCTTCTCCCTCTCCCACTCCCCCTGCTTGTGTTCCCTCTTTCGCTGTCTCTCTCTCTGTCAGATAAATAAATAAAATCTTTAAAAAAAAAAAAGGGGGTGAAACATATGGTATATGAATTACATCTCAATGAAGCTGTTATTAAAAGGGGGGGCACCTGGGTGGCTCAGTCAGTTAAGCGTCCAACTCGATCTGGGCTCAGGTCATGATCTCAGGGTATTGAGATCGAGCCGGGCATCAGGCTCTGCACTCAGCATGGAGTCTGGTTGAGATTTTCTCCCTCGGCCTCTGCCCCTCCCCAGCTTGCGTGCATTCTCTCTCTCTCAGAATAAATAAAATCTTTAAAAAAAAATGGCTCTCTTGGACCCTCACTTCTAAGATGACCAAGAAGAAAAGGAATAATGGTCATGTCAAAAATGGCCATGGCCACATGCAGCCTATTTGCCACACCAACTGCGCCTGTTGCATACCCAAGGACAAGGCCATTAAGAAGTTCGGTATTTGGAACATAGTAGAGGCCACCGCCATCAGGGACATTTCCAAAGCAAGTGTCTTCGATGCCTATGTGCTTCCCAAGCTGTATGTGAAACATACATCCACAGCAAGATAGTCAGGAATCGCTCTCGTGAAGCATCGTAGGACCAAACATCCCCACCCCGATTTAGACCTGCAGATAGATGCTGCCCTATGACCTCCACTAAAGCCCATGTAAGGAGCTAAGTCCTTAAGGACTGAAGAAAAACTGTTCTCTGGAAAAAAAATAAAATGGAGATTATACTAAAAAATGTATTGGTCAAACTTCATCCATCCATAATTCCTCTGTTTACAGTTAAAGAATGCTGTAATTCTTTAAAAAGTCAGGCCAGGAGGGAAGAGACCTGGTGCCAGTGAGATCCCAGACTGGATCCCCAGAAAGATGCTCAGGGCCCCGAATCTCAAAATACAGAACCTCAGAGCCAAAGCTCCTAATCCAAACAGGCAATGTTCTACTCCAGCAAGGAGTGATGAACCTTTACACCTAGTATCCTCCAGCCACAAGAGAAAACATACCTTCCTGATTCTCAAGAGTCTGCTGTTGGATAATGAGCAGTTAGGGAAATGTAGACAGACCATGGGTATGATAATACCCTCATTTCCCATAACCTCATCAAGATAGTAGACTACTCATATCCTATTAATAATATCACTATTGTTGCATTATTAATGCATTAAGGTTAATGACAATGCTAATAATTTACCCAATGCCCACTACAATGACAGTGCCTTTGCTAGATCCATGAGGGCAGAACCATGTCTATCCAATCTTTTCGTCCCAAGTATCTGGGACACAACCTGAACGTAGGAATAGCTCAATATCTGGTTATTGAATGAATAAATGAATGAATGTCGTGCATGTTGCTAAGTACCGTAACCACTTTTCTCCACCCTCTATCCTCCACAGGGCCTCACACACAGCAGCATTCGATAAAGCCGGTGATGGGCTCACTGTCCCAGACAACTGAGAGGAACAAGAAGTTACACAGAACAGCCCATTTGGGACTGGTGTCACTCACTGGTCCCAAACAGCTAGGCTAGCCGCAAGAGAAAGAGAACAAAAGCGCCCTAAAGCTCTACTGGCAAGGAGTTTGATGAGGTCGCTGCTCTCGGGGCTACGTAAGAGCGGGCGCCTGGAAAGGGGGCACACGGGGGCCTTTCGGTACACAATTAACTGTCTCAGGATCCCTATGAAGTACCCACCAGGCGATGCATGGAACATATATC